TATACTCCAACATTTCTAAACATCACGGTTCTTTTGATTCGTGCTATTTTGACATTAAAACAACCTGGGTCACTTACGATGCTTTGTTGGTAAAATTAATAATTCTTGTTACGTTCTTAATCTCCCGGCAACCTACCCGAGCTCCCCTAGATCGCTGATTTTGGCTTGGGAGGGGGGAGGGGGTTAAGATGGGTAGGAAGCATTAAATTTACCAACGGAGGGGTGAGCAAGTACCGAACTGATGCCGAAAGTTCTTGAATAAACCGAGAAAATGGCGAATCGAAAAATACTGATCCGAAAAAATTCCATTAAAATACTGAACCGCATCAAACTGAATGTTCGGTATTTTGGAACGGTACGAGATAATTTCATACACCGAAAATTCCGAACGAAATATATACTTGGTCCGTCCCTGAGTGTTTGTCCACTTTTGACTTTTGGAACTGTTAATCTAAGCACTTTGACTCATCAAATTCTCTCAATGTGTAAGCCTAAAAATAGTCATGTGTGATCTTGTTTGATTCGTCTTAACATATAGATTATTAATATATAATTTTTATAAATTTTTAATATACAAATTAGAAGATAAAATGGATTAAAGAAGTGCATTGGATGGTGTGCAAAAATGAAAGTGGACAAACACTCAGGGACGGAGGGAGTATTAAATATAATAAATTTTTTATATTTTTCATTGAATAATAAGTTTCTTTTTAAATTAGGCTCAAACTATATTATGTGTACATTGTACTTTTTATTTGTGTTTTAATTTTTTTTGGAAGAATTTAAAAATAGTAATACACATTTAAAATATCATTTTGTTATCATCCGTTCACTGTAGTTTGTGAGATATAAACTAAGTTTAATAAGCATTTTGTACATTTAATTATTCCTTTTTTGTTTAAATATACTTTTGATTTATAAAAAAATAAATATTTTGTGACATTTTAAAACTTAAATTAGGTGTTGATGGTGTAAATTACTTGACCGGTCAAACTATACTAGACCGGGTCTAGAATAGTTTGCTTGATTTGGTAAAGTAAGAAAGGTAAAAACACGTAGATTGACCGGTAGGACTTTATGTGGAACACCTGTAGCCCAACTTATATTATAACGGAGAATGCACGGGTTATTTTACAAGGGAGTTTAGAGAGAATGAATCCGGATCCCTCTTTCTGAGGTTTACATGAGTACTTATACTAGGCTAAAGGAGGACAAGACCACGTGCGCCCACGTGGGGGCACGCTGCTGATGTGGTGCGAGGTGACTGGTTTCGTTCTTGAGCTGCCTTGTCGCTTTGTGAGGGAGATTATTCCCTTTGTCGGGTAGTGCCTTGGATGGATTCTTCAGCATCTCCAGTTGTCCTTTACTGACATGGGTCGCTACACGCCAAGCCCTCTTAGATTCTCTTCTGCCGACACTCTCCAACCCTAGAAACTACACCGGGTAATCTCCGAGGGATGAATTCATTGAAGTCTGGGAATAAATAGGGTGACAACGTAGTTTGACTGGTATACTTTTCGTGAAGTATACCGGTCATCTTTTGGTCGATTACACATCGATTTGCTGACGATTTAAGTCTCCCTTCCAAGACTTTCGAGATTGACCGGTCAACTAATTGGTCTCTTCCTTTGATCGATCGTGGGTGGAATACACCCATCAGGTGCGTACATTTTTATCACGATTCATCCCGAAACCGATACTGAACCGAAATTTCGGGACCGGGATCGGTACGACGTAAAATCGCATACCGAACCGAATGCTTGGTACGATATCAGTACGAGCTAAGTACCGTAGCATGCTCACCCTACCTAAAATGCCCCGGTCATTCTCTGATTATTTTTTGCTCAAAAATGTAATCACACGTAGATACCATTGCCAATTTGCCATAAGGCCGTGTTAGAGACCTACCACGAGTGCCTCCATATACTTAATTTGCATATATATGCACAAATAATTATAATCTGTGTGTGTCTGTGTGATGATGCATGGGACACCCTTACCCTATCTTTATTCTTTGCCATGGCCGCCCATGGGGTCACCAAGGAGCCAAATATCATTTTCGGCATATTCTCATTTATGCACAGCACATATTTTGAATATTCTTAGATACTTTAGCGTGGGCCTATCATTGAACAAAAAGACATTATGACAATTTTAAATACAGATTATGAGACTTGAGTAAATAAAAAAAATATTAGAATCACAAATAAGAAGAGGCAAAAAATTTATACGGAGTAAACTTATCATTTGTAAACTCTATTAAAAGAATAAAATAGTTTCAAATAATTTTAAAAAATAAAAGTTTAAGTTCACAAATAGCAAATGTGTAAACTTTGTGAGTTTGTGACTTTGTGTTGCTCTAACATTTCTATAAATAAATAAATTCATCTTTAAAACTTGCAAACTGTGCATTAAACTTGTTTTTTTAAACTACATTTTGGATTGCAACAATAACCAAATGAAGAGTCATCCCGCAATGCAACACATTAAAAATTTTAAAAAAGACATAATTGAAATTTGTTTAGATAAGAAAATATCATATCTTACTCATACTTTAATTTCTAAAAGGAAAAAAAATAAAATTTTATTCTAGAATGATTAAAAATTAAAAAAGGACAAAGTTTCAATGCGAAATGGTCAAACGGATGAAAAATACTACCTCCGTCCCACTCTCTTTGTCCACTTTTGACTTTTGGAACTGTTCATATAAGCACTTTGACTCATAAAATTTTCTCAATGTGTAAGCCTAAATATAGTCATGTGTGATCTTGTTTGATTTGTCTTAACATATAGATTATTAATATATAATTTCTATAATTTTTTAATATACAAATTATAAGATAAAATGGATTAAAGAATTGCATTGGATGGTGTGCCAAAAGGTAAGTGAATAAAGATAGTGGGACGGAGGGAGTATATAGGTATATATAAAGACTAAATACACTATGTATACTACTCTTAATTTTAGGTTGTTGCTATATTCAATCCATTTTTGTTAAGACTAATAGTAAAGTCACAAACAAACATTACTCCCAAAAAAGGAAGTACTCCTTCCATCCAAAAATTATCTTCTCATTAGACGCTATAATGTTTGGATGAAATTATCTTCAAGTTCTTTTATACGAAAAAGGTGCGAAATTTAAAAAAATAATTACATTTTTAAAACCATATCTAAAGATTTACAAAATTAAAAGAAATATAACTATATTTATTTTATTAAATGGACAACAAACACATGCAAACAAAGTGAACAAATTTGACCACCTCAATAGTTGGGTCTTTAAACCTAATTCAAATCACCCTAAATAAGATTAAAATATACAAAAAGTATCAAAATAAGACATTCATGTTTTTATTCCTAAAATACAAGTTCGCACTAGGATAATATGGAGGTAATGTGGCACTGTACACGTACACATTACTATACTTTTTGGGAATGTATATGACTATATTTGGTAATATAAATATATTTTAACTCCTATTTTGGGAATAAAAACATGAAAGATCTATTTTGATATATTTTTAATGTTCTACTTCTACTTTATTTGTTTTTCTAAATCTGAGGGATTCCCATGACATTGGAATTCCATGTCATGAAATGATCCGAAACCACTACAATGCCTCATAAAAATTTGGATCGGGACAAAGTGAAATAGGGTTTATGGGAGAATTAGTGAAGTAAGAGTAGTTAATTTTAGCATCGTAGCGGTACCTAGTGATCCCCATGGACATCAGGTTGTGGAAACATCCCAAAAACTTTAAAAATAAGAAGAGACAACGGATAGTCTGTAAATCCGTTTTTTCGGTGGGGGAGAAAAGTGTATACTGGTGGAAGGATTGTGAAAGAAAAATAATTTGAGGAGAGGAATGTTGACGGAGAAGTTGGCCGGCCGGTCGACGGTGCCGTCTTCGTCGCATTCGCTCCTACTCAACGCCGTGTCTTCGGAGAGAATTTTCGACGAATTGCCGGAAGCGAGGATCGTTTCCGTGTCCAGACGGGAGACAGCCGCCGGAGACATCAGCTTCAGCCCCTTTCTCTTCACTTACACTATTCAACTCCGATACAAACAGGCAACAAACATCTTCCCTGCATACAAAACTCCTTACAGTCAATACTCTTTTATTTGATAATGTGTATGTACTCCCTCATGTTTTGACTTCCAGTTCAAGTGGATCTTAGTGAAGAAGGCTTCACAAGTTATTTACCTACACTTTGCACTCAGGAAGCGCTCACTGATTGAGGAATTCCATGGAAAACAAGAGCAGGTTTTCTGGCTTTAGTTTTGTCTTATTTCTTATCATTAATGCGCGGAGCTCTGAGGTTTTGAGTATTGTTTTCATTGGAATATTGGATAGAAGTATTATAACTTTGTATTGTCTCATTTGGATTTGTCATGGAAGGTTAAGGAGTGGCTTCACCACATAGGATTAGGAGAACAACAAACTACAGCCCAACAATCTGATGATGATCCTGATGATGGAGCTGCCCTTGCATATAATGAAAGTACTGTTAGAAACAGGTGGAGGAAAGTTTCTTTGTCCCCCTTTACCTACTTAGGTCATGTTCTTTTGGGTTGAAATTTCAGAACGGGAAGGAGTTGGAAGAAACTGGAAGGAGTTTGAAAAAAATTGGAAGGAGTTGGAAAATGTTGGAAGAATTTAAGTGTTAAAGAGTCACTCAATTTAATGATCGCTCAAATAAATATGTAAAGAAACTCTATTTTTTGGATAAAAAATAATTCATCCTTGTTCGTGTTTGAGGTCGTATGTTTTAAATCTGGATACATAATGTTATTGTGTATTCATCATATATAAATGCCCTTTTTAAGTCGTTGTTGGAAGAAACTGAAAGGAGTTCGAAAAAGTTGGAAGTTAATTTTTCAACCCAACAGAAAAGAGCCTAAATAGGTCATAGTGATTAGTGCCTCGTAATGCAATAACAGTTGGGTTTCTGGCACACAACTTGATAATGCAGGCATGTACCATCTAGAGCAGCATTGCCAATCATCCGGCCTTCATTGGGGAGGCAACATACAATCTTGGAGAGAGCAAAAAGTGTGATGCAAGATTATTTGAACCACTTTCTAGGGAACTTAGATATTGTAAATTCTAGTGAGGTGGAATTAGACTCTTTTAACTTTTTAGGACAGTTACATGTTTCTTTTTCTCATGAAAGAATTTAGAGTAAAAAATTGAAATAAATTTTGATCATGAATCATTGCCAAAAGGGAAGATAGATATTAGATGTTAGAGGCATTACATAGTTCCATAGTTGCATACTCGAGCGCTTTCTTATATGTTATCTCGGGTACAAATGCTATTTAATCCCTAGAGTGATGCACAACTGTAGTTGGCTGATGGTAAAACTTTTGGAGGAATTTTTAAAGGCATAAATGAACATGAGATTGCACATTTTTCTTTGACTGCAATTGCACACTATGTTTGGTTCATGGCATTTGGAAGGAAAAGAAAGGAGAATGATTTTCTCTCATTTTCTTCACCAAAGTGGGAGGAATTTGATTCTCTCCTCTTAGTACATTTTGCCTTCTCATTTTCTTTTCCTTCCACTTTTCTTTTCCTCTGTAACCAAACACGAAAAACTGTTTTTTATCTCATTTTCTTTTCTTTTCACTTTAAAATTTCTTGAACCAAACATAGTTAAGATGACCCAAACAGGAATATGGAATTCTAGTAGATGGCCCTGACTGGATTGGATTTAAGGCTCGGTTGAGTCATTACAATATACTCCCTCCGTCCCAAAAAGTCTTTCCTGTTTCATTTTTTGCGCATCCCAAAAAACACTTCTATCCCGTCTTGAATGCCAAAAAACTTTCAAAATAACTTCTACCCACAATAAAGAAGAAATGTTGTAAATTTTAGACATTTTAGATGTCGGTAGAAGTGTTTTATGGGATGCGCAAAAAATGAAACAGAAAAGACTTTTTGGGACGGAGGGAGTACATTTTATGATTACAACAGTCAATAAAAAGCTTTCACTTGGCTATTGGTACATTGAGTGTGCAATTTTTGAAGGTTATTTCATTTTCATATGCAAGAATCTAAGAATTTAAAGTGCTGTTTTTTAACTGTCACTTTGTATGTGTCTAAAGAGTCTCTTTGTGGTGAAACACGGGAGAGACTACTATTTTCCTATCTGTTTATGTATTGAGTTTTGAAAGTATGCTACAATAAGACAAATTTAGTAAAGGTATTCAAAATCTGTAATAAACTTGTATTGTTTTTCATTATTTGTCTTGCTTGTTGATAGGTTTGCAAGTTTTTGGAGGTCTCCAAGTTATCATTTTTACCTGAGTATGGACCAAAGCTAAAAGAGAGCTATCTAATGGCTAAGCATTTACCCTATGTTTCAGTGAAGAAAGAAGACTCCAGATGTTGTACGTGTTGTGGGCTTGGTTGTTGCAAGAATGATTGGCAAAAGGTGTTTTCTCATCACGGGGTCTTTCACATGCTTTTCTCATGTCTTTTAGGTTCAATCAAAAGACACTTTGCAAAATACTACACTATGTTTGATTCAAGGAATAAGTAATGGAAAGAAAAAGGTACAACTTTCTCATATCTAACATCCATCACTAAAATACTGGAAAAAACATTTTGTGGTTCCTAAACAAAATACGGCATAATCATTTCACAGGCAATGCAAGAAACATTTCAGGTCAATCGCATTTTGGCTGCGTTCCGTTTGCCTGATCTTATCAGATTTTTTGAAGATGTGATCTGATCTGATTGTAGTTATAATTAAAGCTGCATCTGATCTGAAGTGATTATAATAAGAATAAGTAATAAGCAGAAAAAATAAGTTGAACGGAACGCTGCGGCGCTGCCTTTATCATTTTGGACAAATACTTAGCAAATATAAGCATCACTGTGATACAAGACCGTACCTTTGATATTCTGCTTTTAGATTTTTCAGGTTATTGGTTTTTGCCTTGTATATACTCCGTATATAGCATTAATAAACACAGTATAATTAACAAAGATTTGGAACCATTTTGATCTTCCAATTTGTTTCAATATAAAAAGTCACATAAAACTTGTAAATATATCACAACTTATCTTAGCATGCCAACGTTACCCTTATATATATTATTCTTTGTTTTCTGAAAGTGTTAAAGCATACAGAGTAATAAATATTTGTGGTAACATTTGCAAGAAATGATTATTGCATCATATGCTTGCCAAGTTCTACGGGTAGAAGATAAAAAGAACACAAAAATCTTGAATATGTGGACAGTTAAATAGGAAGAAAGGGAGTTGTGTTTAATGTAGTTTTATTTCTTTCTTATTTTAATGGGTTTGTCTGGCTCATTAGAATCTACCAATTTGTGAAATCACTATATAAAGCATTCATCATCCTCATTGCTGTCCAATAATAGGTGTTTGTTTTAGTCTATTCTTCTAATTATTCTCTTATTGCATTGTAGGTTTGGGCTGTTCTGAAGCCCAGTTTCTTAGCTTTACTAAGAAGCCCCTTTGACACTGAACTATTGGACATATTTGTTTTCGATCCCCTTCCTGCTGGTAATAGTAAGGGCGAGGTGCAAGTAAGTTTGGCCGAGGAGATAAGGGATCACAATCCTTTGCGTTATTCAATCAAGGTCAGCCGCTGGACTTGTTTGACTTACTTGCCTTCAACTACACCATCCACTAGTTTTAAAGTTTTATAACCCAAAAATCAAAAGATTTGTTTTTCCTTTTCCTTATGTAGCCTAACTATGTGCACCCCTCTAATTCCTTGGTGGCATCATCATCATGATTTATCATTATGTCGCCTACTACCAGAAAGTGATGTCAATTGATTGCCATTACACCCTATCTACACAAACCATTTTTATGTTTTCCTCGTAACTAAGGTGCAAGGTACCAATCATGAGTGACATTTTCTGGTACTGGTTTAGTTCCATTTGCATGATCTTTGAAGTGGAGTTTTTAAAGTGCAGGAATGTAAACTATAGATGTATTCCCGTTAAGGGGGTGTAATGTGGATTTGACTAAATAACAAAAATAACAACAATAATAACTAATCCAGTAAAATCCCACAAGAGTAGGGTCTGGGGCAGGGTGTGTATGCAAACCTTACCCAGTGGCGTCTTTAGGGCCCCAAAATTTTGTAATGCGTTTATACATATGCATGTGTGTGTGTCTTTGTGTTGTGTATTCTTTTTATCAGTAAATTGATTTAACCAATCGTTGGTCATACACAAATTTGGAATTTTTTAATTTTTGTTGGGATAGTCATTTAGTATGACATACCCTCTGTTGTCAAAGTGATTTCCAAAAACCTACAAAAGATAGTGCCATTAAATAGCTATTGAAAATTTACAAGATCTTGTGGATTTTTGAAAAAAATATAAGGAGACAAGATTTGAGTCTTCTAAAATATAATAAAGAATTGTATGTGAAATAAAAATAAAGCATAAATTTAATGAGAGGCGAGTCACTCGTATAAAGAAACAGTTCGATGAAAACGTTGACAACGAAGTGGTAAAATCTCCCGAAGAAGCGTTGAAGGCAGATTATTTGTTGTACATAGTAGATTAATTAATCTTTTCACTTGTGAATAGATTTGAGCAATTTTAGAAGTATGAATTAGATTCTGCATTCTTATTTAATGGGAAAAAATTGAGGTCATTGGAGGATGCTGACTTAAATGAGTTATGCTGAAATGAGTGAAATCTAGAGAAGCTGTTGACATACGATGAAAACTCTGATCTTGATGCTTCAAATCTATTTTTAAAATTAGGAATTTTAAAAGATATGGTGAACGTTGATGAGTGGGATGAAGTTGATGCATTAGTTTATCTTCTAAAAGTTGAATGTTTTTCAAATACATTTATTGCTTTTGGAATAACCTTGACAATTCCGGTGAATGTTGCATTTGATCAAGAAAAATGCATCACGGATGACAAGAGGAGTATATTTTTTATTTCTTTGATGAAATTGTAAGAAACATGATATACTTTAGTTTTGTGCTTTTATTAATAGCTATCTTGTAGCAATTATTTAATTAGAATTTGATATTATGATTATCTTTTTTTTAAAATGAAATATTGTTCTTTATCATTTTCCTTTAAATATAAGGACCCCGATTTAATTTTTGCCTAGGACCCCGCAAAAGCTAGTAACAGTACTGACCTTACCCTTAATTGGAAGTAGAGAGACTCTTTCTAAGAAACATAGACAAAGTGAACATCGTAGCACAAACACAAGTACCACACATAACGACACTAGCAACTGAACCCTACACACAAAAAGCACACGAAAACATGCTACAAACTAAGGCAAAAAATGCAGCAGCAAAAACTACAAACTAAGGCCCAAAAGTCTACCCAATTGCTCTAATCCGAGCTCTCCAAGCGTTCTTATCTAAGGCCATATTCTCGGTAAGATCTTGAGGTCTTAAGTCCTGTCTAATCACCTCCTTCCAACTCTTCTTAGGTCTATCTCTAACCCTTACTCATGCCCACTACCTCAAGCCTCTCACATCTCCTTATTGGAGCCTGTGCACTTCTCATTGGAGTTAGTGATCACAGGGTTTCTATCTCTAACAAACTCCAACAGTGAGAGCCCCCACATTCATGTCACAACTCCCTCCCCTTGCACATCATCATTCCAAAATCTTAGTCCCAGACTTGTTCTTTGTTTATTTTTGTTTATATTGTTATTGGTTTCAAGTGTTCTATGCTCTCTCATAATTTGAATTCACAAAAAGATCTCTTGCGGGAATCGTAGCATAAAATTCAGAATTGCAAGTCATGCTAAAGTTAAAGATTGGGTTTCTGCAATTAATGACGCTGGTCTAAAGCACAAAGAAGGTTCGTGTAGCACTCAACGCTTTGGTTCTTTTGCTCCACAAAGAGGATTGGCTGAGGATGGAAGTCATGTTCAGTGGTTTATAGATGGAAAGGCTGCATATGAAGCAATTGCTTCATCAATAGAAAATGCCAAATCCGAGGTTCCACTCTTTGACTTACTTAAGGCCTGATTCCGAATGGTTGCTAGTTCAGTTTTTTATTTAATGATTTTAAAAGCTATTCCATAATATGTGCTTATACTAATCATGTTAATTTCTTAAACTGCCAACAATCAAACAGTTTTAGTTTTAAGAATCTGGTTTTAGTTTTCTTAAAAATAAAACTGAGAACTGGCAACCACTTCAAATGAGGCCAAGAATTCTGGTTTCTTAATGATAGATGAAGATGGAATCATGGAAACGACTGCATGTTGTGCCACTTGTATGTGCAGATATATATTACTGGATGGTGGCTTTGCCCTGAACTGTACTTGCGGCGGCCATTTCAGAACCACAGTTCCTCTAGACTTGATGCTTTACTTGAAGCAAGAGCTAACCGAGGGGTTAAGGTGGAATACAGTTTGATTTCTTCCAGTTCATATTTTGTACTCAATGAAATAGACAGTTTGTAGTTTTTAATATATAAGATTTGCGGATAGCTTTTACAAGTTCAATATGTTAGCGAACAAAACAATAGCAAATATCTTAATTCATTCATGATATTTTCCATGCAAAAGGAAATATTTTATGTTGATGATGGTTATAGAATTTCCTCACTATGCCTTCTCACACCATTCTCGGCGAGAAGGTCATGTGGCAACCGGGTTGAATTTTTTCCACAATGTTTCTTTTCATGATTTTTTTGTGTTAACTAATCTTAGCTTTATAAAATTCATGCCACCAACCCCAAGTAGTTGAGATTAAGGTGATGATTATTTTTTTTATTATTTATTAATTGATTATTAATCTTCCGCGTTAGGTATGGTTGGTCGAATCTCAGTAACATTAGGCTTTAATAATATGCAGATATACATTCTCCTGTACAAGGAGGTTTCTCTTGCTTTGAAAATCAACAGTTTATACAGTAAAACAAAGCTTCTATGCATTCACAAAAATGTGAAAGTGCTACGCTACCCTAATCATTTTTCTGCTGGGGTCTACTACTGGTATGACTCATTAGGATTGTCTACTCTTGAGCCTGTTGGTTAAATTTCCTATCAAATTGACATATACAACAATACCTACGTTCAAATATCTATACCCAAAGCTAGGAATTTCTCCTCCAGTGTCGTATACTCGTATGCAAACAAGAAGTGCTGCTCGCTTACTTGCAGGTCACACCATGAAAAAATTGTTATCGTGGATCATCATATTGCCTATATTGGAGGATTGGATTTATGCTTTGGCCGTTACGATACAGTTGAACATAAAGTTGGTGATAACCCTCCTCTGTTATGGCCTGGAAAGGACTATTACAACCCAAGGTGAATACATTCTTGTATCTCTCTTAAAACTGGATTATGATAGTGAACTTGCTGAATGATTCAGTCTGAACCAGATTATGAAGGTGAATTCATGCTTCATTTATGGATTCTTCATTTCTGGATTATGCAGAGAATCTGAACCAAATTCTTGGGATGATACAATGAGAGATGAGCTGGACAGAGAAAAATATCCGCGCATGCCTTGGCACGATGTCCAATGTGCCATTTGGGGCCCACCATGCCGAGACATTGCAAGGCATTTTGTTCAGCGCTGGAATCATGCTAAGGTTTATTTTACTCCACTTGGCTGTTAATTAGTATAGGACTCTATTCCTTCAAATATATATATATATATATATATATATATATATATATATATATATATATATATATATATATATATATAGAACTCGATTTTACTGAAATAACTTTGTATGTTTCACAGAGAAGCAAAGCTGCGAATGAACAAGAAATACCCCTCCTGATGCCACAACACCACATGGTTATCCCACACTACCTGGGCAGAAGCCAAGAAATAGATGTTGAAATTAAGAATGCTCATGCTAGTGCAGAAGACTTAGATAGACTGGGCGTCTTTCGTTCAGAGTCGCCACCTGAAAGCATACCATTGCTTTTGCCCCAGGAAGCTAACAGCAGGCAGGCTTCCAATCTAAACAACACACAATATGGTATATAGTCTACCCATATCTCTTTTCATCTGTTGATGAAAGTTTGTGAGATTTCTAGTTATATTTACTTCTATACTTGACTTCAATCTTAGATCTGGAGATGAAAATTTTCAGATGTCATTCATCAAGTGGATCCACTAGTAGATCAAATAACTAAACAGGAAGATTGGTGGGTAACACGGGAGGGAACTGAATTTTCTGATAACTTAGCAGACGTTGGTCCTCGGACCCCTTGTTCTTGTCAAGTTGCTCTTTCTCTCTCTCCATCTCTCTTTCCTTTCTTTAAATAAAAACATATGTGTTGCTGTTTTTTTAAAGAATTTATGAATTTAATGTTTAATGGATTGTAGATTATCAGAAGTGTTAGCCAATGGTCAGCGGGAACAAGATATACAGAGGATAGCATTCATACAGCTCATTGTTCACTCATTGAAAATGCTAAGCACTTTGTCTTCATTGAGGTATTGAAATAGTAAAGTTTATGATCTATATGTGTCCATCATTTGAATCATTGTTGTTGCATCAACGGGCCCTTATTGTATTATTGGTTGGCAGGGATCAAGGGTTCATTTACTTTAATAAAAAACGAAAAGAAAAACACTAACAGAGTATTCTATAAATGGATGTTGAAGTGAAATACCCAAGTGGAGCAATTTAAACTATCTGCTCTAGATCATATGTAATTTAGGTACAACATTTGATTTTATTTTCTTTAAATGCCCACTTCTAGAACCAGTTTTTTATATCTGGCCTTTCTGGAGATGAAATCATTCAAAATCGAGTACTTGATGCTTTATACAAACGCATTGTGGTGGCATACAACGAGAAAAAGTGTTTCAGGGTAATTATAGTCATCCCGCTCTTACCAGGGTACCAGGTACTTATTCCCGCTCTATATAATGATAATAATAATGTCTCACTTAGTTTTTTTAGTAAGTTCATGTTTCATGTATAGTTCTCCAAACTACAGGGAGGTTTGGATGACATTGGAGCAGCAACTGTGAGAGCCATAATGCACTGGCAATACCGAACAATTTGCAGGGGACAACGCTCTATATTGCACAATCTTTATTCCTTGCTTGGTCAAAAAACATCTGATTACATATCTTTCTATGGTCTCAGAACCTATGGCCAACTTTCTGATTGCGGCCCATTGGTCACAAGCCAGGTACTGCTCTGTTTTGAAGCACTGAAGCAATCTGACAAATGACAAGTACGGCGGCATTTTAAGTTTTAATGGTTTGCTTTCGGAAGTATGCTAGATTTCCTGCCTTCATAGTCTTTTGCTAGTTTCCCACTCCGTATTGATCCTTTTATGAACGGTTCTCTTCTAAGAGCAGGCCATTTACCTTATATGCCACAAACAAGAAAGTCTGTTTTTTTAGGTTGTTTCTATTATTCATCAAGTACCATGGACTGGTTTCAAATTCTTTTCAATTTCAAGTGCAGGTTTATGTCCATAGTAAAGTTATGATAGTAGATGACCGTGTAGCCTTGATTGGATCATCGAATATTAATGACAGAAGCTTGTTAGGATCTAGAGATTCTGAGGTAATTCATCCTTGATCAAGGAGTACTTAGTTTGTTGATCTTACTAAACCCGATTCACTATCATCGGCACATGTTTTCGACTTGGAGATATTCGTATATCTTTTCTGATGAGAATAAGATTGCCTTTCATGGGGTTTCAGATTGCCGTAGTCATTGAGGATAAAGATTTTATTGATTCTTCAATGAATGGGAATCCATGGAAGGCTGGAAAGTTTGCATTTAGCCTTCGGGTGTCGTTATGGACAGAGCATTTGGGTCTACACTCCGGGGATGTTAGTAATGCTTTCATTATTTGAACATTATGCACAATTCACACACAGAGAAAAACACATATTTATATAGTCGGAAAGATGTGCATATTAAGATCTATTTACCATTCTCCAGATTTTTCAAATCAAGGACCCTATAGCTGACACTACATACAAAGATTTGTGGCTTGCAAGAGCTAAGGTAAGAGATTTTTTTTTTAATTTACAAAATTGAACTCTTAAGTCTTAGGGCTTGTTACGGAAATGAAAAAAAAACATGCAATGAAATTATTTTCTTATGTTTGCTTTTCCCTTTTAAAATGTAAAGGAAAATATTATGACTAGTTTTCTTAAAATATTATATAGACATAGACTGCAACAAGAGTAAAAGTAAAACGGATTCTTAAATTGTGTTTATGGTTGTGCTTATTTTATATTTTCCCCTACATTTTCTTTACTTTTATTTTTCTCTATGTTTTTCTTTTACATTCCTCAGTATTTTCCAGGCTCCTTACAAGACCCCAAGGCTTATAAGTTATTAGCCCCAATCTTCAATCTAGCTAATATTATTACGCCGGTTAGAATATAATACCTTTCCTGGGTCTACAACCATAAATTTGAGCTTGCGGTATCAGAGTCTTGTTGACCTAGAGGTCACAAATTTGAACCTCACTATCACCCAGTTTTAAATTTTTTTTTAGTTGAAAACAGTTCTTGCATTCTTGTCTGCACGAGAGAGGGCATGTTCGAAAGGTCACAAGTTTGAACCTCACTGTCACTTAATTTTTAAAATAATAAAGGTGAAAACAAATCTTGCATTCTTGTCTGCACGTTAGAGAGCATGTTAGAATACAAAATCTTTTTAGGCATAGAGGTCACAAGTTTTAACCCCACTGCCACATAGTTTTAATAAAAAATTAGGGTGAAAACAAATCTCACATTAATGGGAAATTTTACTTCTCTGGAACCAAATAACAACTGGGTATCTTCAAAGTAATAGCTTCCGAGCATCTCTTCTCTTTTATTCACAGTTGAATGCCAAAATCTACCAAAAGGTCTTCTCTTGCGTCCCCAACGACCTCATCTACACAAGGTACTCAACCCCTTCAACATCTTATTTTTAAGACAGTGTTTCCAATACAGGAAATCGATATTCGTGGAAAAGGTTTCCCAATGAAATTTCCTTTTTTTACAATAACATTTTCTAGTGCTATTAG